AGGAGCCACTGCACCTGGCCAACGGAGAATATCTTTCTATTTATTTTTCTTCTGCCTGGAGGATGATCATTTTGTTTCTGATTTCTTTTCTTAGACAGAGCCTGGGAATCACAGGTCAAGAGGAAAATCACAGATTAGGAACAAAGAGGAGTGCACCAATGGGCAAGAACATATAAAGCTTATGAACAATAGGATGAGAGCTTTTCCAACTGTCCATCTCGCCTCTGCCCTTTGAGGTTGGAAGTTGGCATGTGTGCCCTGGTTGTGCGTAGAAGCTGCTGTATTTTCCTCATTGGCCTAAGCCTAAGTGCCATAAATGCGTCCTCTAGGTTTTCTCATTAAAGATGAATTTGGGTAGATAGATTAGAGATGGGGGAAAGAGAACCCAGCGGAAGGTAAAAGGTTTTCATCACTTAATAATACCAATTTTATCATCACTTAGCATAACTTCTTTCTGCCAATTTTATCATCACTTACAATAACTTGCATTAGGGTAATAAGGCATTAAGTATATGTTGATTGCAAATAATCTGGTTACATTCACTAATTATATGAAGACTGATTTTTTTCCTGTTTGAAATATAATTTTCCTAAAAACAGGACATATCAAAGTAAGGAGACACATATGCTGTGGAGATAGAAAATGAAATTCTTGTGTATTTGGCAAGTGCCTGATTACAAGATGAAAATAGATGGAGAATTCATTGCAGAAATAAAGAATGTAAATGGCTTGCTGTGGCTGATTTGCTCTCACCTTTTCACCCTTGGGGTCAAATTAATATGTTTACTACTGATAAGGCGTTTTATATAGCAGAGGTGTTGGTGCTCAAATGCCATCTCACAGAGTAGGGGGCTGCCCTGAACACATGCTCTTTAGAGAGATTAAGTATAAATTGCCAGGCTAGGAATTTTATGAGTCTTCCATAGCTGTGAAGTGCTGGTTTAAGTAAGGGATAGAGAGGCTTAGGATGCATTAGATTGTCATTTAGGGCTGCTATAAAATTTCGTAAGCCTATCCATTCTAACCCAGCTTTCAGATGGCTATCATCTCTCAGTGGTAATAATGACACTGCCACTATGATGAGCAAGTTGCTACTTGAAGACGGACACATATGGACTAAATTCAAACTATTGTTTCCAACGTGATCAAACACCCCTTGGCTGTTTTCAAGTTTATATGATTACAAATGCCCTTAGCATCCGAACCAGAGCTAGATTTTCGGATTTCGGTATTTCTGGAATTGGAAATAATTTCCTATCAGCCAGCCACAGATATTTTCCAATCTATTTTTCAGTAAAGTGTTCAGATTTTTTGTTCTGGCTTATAAGAAATAAAAAATGACTCAGATTTCAATTAAAAACATAATGATAATGATAGTTTGCATGGTGTCACGTTTTCAGCTATTTAAAAACAATTATGTGTTATTTTTGCTCTCTTTAAAGATCCCAAGTGTAAGAAGAATTTGTGTGATTTACTGTACTTTACAGATTAAACAGGTATTTGCTCCATTTTACAGACAAGGAACTGAGGCTTAGAGAGACAGGTTGGTCAAGGTCGCACATCAAGTGTCAGCGTGAAGACTGGGAGGCTCCACGTGTCCTGCTCTGCAGCTTTCAACCCTAGCAGGTGAGATATGGATGATAGGAAATGCAAACCACCCCATTCACTGTTAACTAAGCCACAATGCACTTTCACCACAATCTTCCTGAGCATGGCTCTTACAGAAGGATGTGACCTTTAGTGTGAGATCGGCCAGACTGGGCCAACGTGAGGGCCTGCCAAGCTCATGGGCTGGTGTCTTTATGTTTTGCGCACTTACCATCAGATCGATGTGCAGGGGTGTCTGAGATGGCCAAAACTGGGTTGGCTCTATGTTTGGAGAGTAGGTCACATGTGAAGTGGCTGGAGGGACACCAGCTATGCCATCCGAATTGCCAAGGGCCTTCAGGGCCATCTGTTCACTGACTGCACCTAAAGGCATCTCTCAAGTTGCTCAGTCACTGTGGTTTCCTTCCTGAAAGTAATGAAAGGTGAGAATAAGTTTTGTGTCCCTGTAGGTTTCCAAAGAGCAAATGAGAAACCTGGCGCAGGCTGGGGTGCCATCACTCACGCCTGTAATTGCAGCACTTTGGGAGGCTGAGGGGAGAGGATTACCTGAGGCCAGGATTCTAGACCAGCCTGGGCAACATAGTGGGACACCATGTCTATAAAAAACTTAAAAATTAGGCAGGCATGGTGGCTGCATGCCAGTAGCCCTAGCTACTCGGGGGGCTGAGGCAGGAGGAGTGAATGAGCCAGGGAGGTCAAGGCTGCAGTGAGCCATGACTGTGCCACTGCACTCCAGCCTGGGTGACAGAGTGAGACCCTGTCTCAAAAACAAGAAACCAAAACTATCGTAATTCAAATTTGAACATACTCTAAGATAGAATAAGTATGTCCCTTTTGATTGCAGATTGTTACCTGAGGGTATATTAATTCCCAATGACATTGCTACTATACTTGATATCTCACCTTGGGAGAAAAAAAGGTCAAGAAGGTTTAAGTCAGGAAAAGTCGTAGTCCAAAGAGGAGACTTTTCCTTTATTTCAGTCTCTCCCATCTGTATGTGCCATCCACAACTAGAATACACGTTACAAGTTCCTGGGTGATTCCAGGGCCAAGGGAAGCAAGGTTTATATATTGCTGAGAAGAATGCTCCAACCTGAATTTAAGATGTGTCTTGCTGTCACATTCTACCTCTTTGTACTAAAAATTGCATTTCTAAAACTGTAAAAGGGAATTGCTTGGCCTCCCTAAATGTAAAATCACCAAGGTGAGATGATTTTTTTGCGTTACAGTGCCCCCGTGACCCTATGAGATTTACTGAGTAAGATGTCTTATGGGGGGCAGCGGGGGGTTCAGATGCACAGACGCAAGGCCTGCAATCACAGCACGGACAATCCTTCTATTAACAAGAAACAACATTTCAAATTATTCCAAATGCTGCTAAAATTAAGCCCAACTGTTCAATTTTCCACGTGTTCCTTTTAATTAGAAATGAAATGAAAGAGAAAAAGAAACCATTGAAATTACATAAATAAAAACAGATGGAATGGTGTATTGGAAGCTCTCTTCTATAATACATTCCCTTTAATAACATTCATTGGTTAATTTGGTTGATAAAAGCAGCGTTAAAATTAAATAAGAATTAACATACACTCGGATAAATATTTGTCGCTTCTTTCATGTGCTACCATGATAAAGGTAATTTAGCTTAAAAGCAGTCATCATCTTTCTTCATAACTGATAAAGCATTACTAATTGTGTGTGTTAATATGGTACAATATGGAATTGAATAGAGATTTTATCTTAATAACATCTCCATTAAATTAAAGACAGTGTTGTATGACAGGAAAGATAAGTCTGTTTACTCCAAGCTAGTACATCAAAAGAACAACTGTGGGAGATGCTGCAGTAACTAACATTTTCTAGCATGTTCTAGCTGGCAGCATCACGTTTATAGTCACTGTTGTAAGCAACACTGTTTTGTGGGATAACCTAGATAATGCTTCATTGAGAAAAGTGATATTTTAATTATGGTGTAAAAGATACTGATCTTTTCCTTTCTGTGTCTAATAGGATCTTTCTACAAATAAGACGCTGAGTGGAAAATGATCTGATTCTGTTGCAATAAAATAACCATCCTTTGAGGCAATTTCACTACCCCGAGCCTCTGTGAGCAGGATATGAGGGGTCAGGAGCTGCCATGAGGAGAATGGACAATAAGGACAGAACTGGGGAAAGGAGGGTGCCATGGTGTCAGTGCCTTCCTCCTTCTGTCCCTCATGGGGCTGTCGTGTGCCGGACTGCCTTCCTGCCCCATGGCGGTGCACTCAGCTGTGTCCCTGCAGGCTGGCAGGCCAGAATTCCCTCCTGTGCATTAGCCAGCAGAGGGCCCACGGCTGAGAGGAGGAAACTGAACCCTTACGGAAGAGAGGGAGTTAGAGTCCAAAGCACAGCTCCCTTCCCCACCCGAACCTGGGCAGCTTAGTTCTGATGAATGCATCATTGCCTCGGCACTGTCTCCCCTGAAGGACCAGGAGATGTTTGGAATGCCAGTTGTTGTATCTGTTAATATGTTTGTATTTTAAAAGCACATGCCACAAACTGCCTATTCAGAGACTGTGGATCTGCTGTGGTTGTGAGACGATGTGCCTTGATATGCTGATATTCTCCCGTGTCATCTCTCTGCCTATGGGAGCAGCTGTCCGCCAGTCCTGCACACACACACAGGGCCTCGGAATCTCTTTACTGCCACTCCGGCCACACACGCTGCACACGTGTCTGATAAGAAGCAACATTATTGTGAATAGCCAGAGTCAACATTAACTACTGGATAAGAATGAAAGTAGTTTGGAAATAATTATAACCACCTCCCCTACCCCCAAAAATATGCTGTTCAAAAAGTCAGTCTGGAGACGCGGGTAACAACCCTATTTTTATACAGTCCCAACTGAATTCTTAATACATGGCAAAAAAGAAAATCACGGCTTAACATAAAGCAGGAGATGTAATAAATAATGAACTGCACTAACAGCTTAACATCATAAGGAGACAGATGGAAAACTTCTCTCCCGAGATCGCTGCTTCCAGAATTAGAGAAAGGGCTTCTGGACGTGTTCAGGGTGGATAGTTCAAGCCTGAATTTCAATGAGATGGGAACACTTTTTAGTATAAATGCAAGATTTTCATGTCTCCCTTTTAGGAAATACAGAGATTATGGCATTCATCTGTTTCATCCAGGACTCGAAAAGCAAAACCCTGAACCTCAGACTCTTCCAGCATGTTTGATTCAGCCAAACAAGGGAAGATGCTGCGGGTGCTTTGTATGCTATGGAAGTGCTACGATGCCATCGTCTGTCCAGGAAAAGAAAGGAACACCCATCCATGTGGTAAAGCTATCAGAAACTGGAGCATTGGGAATAAAGGAATTATTTCCATGAGACAAGCCGCCCGCCATTGGCTCATAATAAGCTGGAAGACCAATGACTGCTTCTCAGAGACTCCCAAAGGCCCAATGTCCTGGCTGCAGATTTGCGGCTGAGTCAGCACGGTGCACAGCAGAAAGGTGGGGGAGGGTGGCCAGTGCCGCCCTGCCAGGCTCTGTCTGTATTACCTGGAGCAGCACGGACCCTTCAGTCTCCATTCTCTCTTCAGGAAAGAGGCCTCCTCATAGATGGACACATCAAGGCTCAGGTAATCTCGGGAAGCTTATTTACTCACATGGTCCTGGCCTATCAGGCTCTCTGGAGGCCCTTCTTCCTTGGCTGTCAACTATCTTTAAATTGATATGTAATAGTTGTACATATTTATGCAGTACATGTAATATTTTGATACATGCATGCAATACATAATGATTAAGTCAGGGTAATTGGGATATCCGAGACCTCAAACATGTATCATTTCTTTGTGTCGGGAACATTCCAAATCTTCTCTTCTGGCTATTTTGAAATATGCAATATACCATTGTTAACTATAGTCACCCTACTGTGCTATTGAACCCTAGAACATATTCCTTCTATCTAACTGTATGTTTGTATTCATTAACTAACCGCTTCAATCCCTTCTCCCCTCTACCTTTCCCAGCCCCTGATAACTATCATTCTACTCTCTCCTCCATGAGGTCAACTTTTTCTAGCTTGCACATATGAGTGATAACATGCTATATTTGTTTTTCTGTGCCTGGCTTATTTCAGTTAACATAATTACCTCCAGTTCCATCCACATTGCTGCAGACGACAGGATTTCATTCTTTTTGATGGCTGAATAGTACTCCATTGTGTATACATACCACATTTCCTTTTTTCAACCAACCATTGATGGACATGGGTTGATCCCATATCTTGGCTGTTGTGAACAGTGCTATAATGAATGTGGAAGTGCAGGCATCTCTTCAACGTACTGATTGCCTTTCATTTGGATATCTACCCAGCAGAGGGATTACTGAATCATATAGTAGTTCCCCTTTTAAGTTTCTGAGGAACCTCTTTACTGTTATCCACAGTGGGTGCACAAATGTTCATTCTATCAACAGTGCACAAACATTCCCCCTTCTTCATATCTTCATCAGCATCTATTATTTTTTTGCCTTTTGATAGTAGCCATTTTAACCGAGGTGAGATGATATCTTTGTGGTTTTGATTTGCATTTCCCTAATGATTAGTGATGTTGAGCATTTTTTCATATGCCTGTCGGCCATTTGTATGTCTTCTTTTGAGGAATGCCTTTTCAAGTCATTTGCTTTTTTTTTGCTTTTGAGACAGAGTCTTTGTTGCCCACGCTGGAGTGCAATGCCATGATCTTGGCTCACTGCAACCTCCACCTCCCAGGTTCAAGCAATTTTTCTGCCTCAGTCTCCCAAGTAGCTGGGACTACAGGTACATGCCACCACACCTGGCTAATTTTTGTGTTTTTAGCAGAGATAGGGTGTCACCATACTGGCCAGGCTGGTCTCGATCTCTTGACCTTGTGATTCACTTGCCTCGGCCTCCCAAAGTGCTGGGATTACAGGCATGAGCCACCGTGCCTGGCTCATTTGCTAATTTTAAAATCTGATTCTTCTTCTTTTTTTTTTTTTTTTTTGAGAAGGAATTTTGCTATTGTCACCAAGGCTGGAGTGCAATGGTGCGATCTCGACTCACTGCAACCTCCGCCTCCTGGGTTCAAGCAATTCTCTTGCCTCAGCCTCCCAAGTAGCTGGGGCTACAGGCTCGTGCCACGATGCCCAGCTAATTTTTGTATTTTTAGTAGAGACGGGGTTTCACCATGTTGACCAGGATGGTCTTGATCTCTTGACCTCGTGATCCACCCACCTCGGCCTCCCAAAGTGCTGGGATTATAGGCGTGAGCCACCGCGCCCGGCCTATTATTATTGTTGTTTCAGTTCCTCACATATTCTGGTGATTAACCCTTTATAGGTTGGGTAGTTTGCAAATGTTTTCTCCCATTCCGTGAGTTGTTGCTTCTCTCTCTTGACTGCTTCCTTTGCTGTGCAGAAGATTTGTAGCTTGCTATTATCCCATTTGTCTATTTTTGCTTTTGTTCCTATGCTTTTGAGATCTTACTCAAAAAATCTTTGCCCAGACCAAGTCTTCAAGAGCAAAATTTGCGTAATATCTGATTAGGGTCTGGGGACCATTCAGACCAAGTCCCCTGGGGCACCCGAACCAATAGGTGATCTAAACCTTCACCACAATTATGAGCCATCACATCAAGCAGCCCATTTCTTCCAAAATCAGCTGACTCTTTACAGAAATTGTGCATTTAAATGTGATGAAGTCACTTGCTTACTTCTCTTGCAGACACTGCAAATAATGGGGTGCTCCAGTTTCACTAAAATGCCTCAGACGAGCTTTCCAACCCACAACCCTTAAACACAAATGAATAATAGTAGCATGGACAATCAAGGGCAAGCTCAAGCTCCAAATGCCAAAACAGAGGACACGGGCCATAAGATTAACTTACCTCTTACTTGCAAGAAAGGGAAGGAAATGATAAAATCAAAGGCACATGTTTCCAAAACCGAAAGAAACAATACACACAAAATGTTAGCCAACGAGATGACGATTGTGTCAGTTACCCACAAGGTCAGGCTCGGGGAGGGTGTGGCTGGGAAGACACCAAAAATCAGAAGTTGTGGATTCCTCAGTCCACTCCTTCCAACACAGTGGAATACGGACTGGTCTGAGAATGTGAGGGCATTCAGGACACTAGGTTGTCATGTGATCAGGGTAGGGCCTTTCTTTTTTAGAAACTTGTTACTTAGAAAAATTTCAAACTTACAGAAAAACTACAGTAATTACTCCTATATATCCTTTATGTAGATTCACAAAATGTTCGCGTTTCGCCACGTAAGCTCTATCTCGCTCTCTCTCTGAACATATATAGTTTTATGTTATTTTATTTATTTTTTGCTGATCCTTTTCAGAGTTGTCGGTGTGATGATTCCCTGCATACTTCAGGATGCATCCTCCGTAAGTGAGGACACGCTGTTACAGAACACACTCACCCCCATTTTCCATTACTGCGTTAAAGATGACCACAAACCGAGCAGCTCAAGACAACATTTATGATCCCATAGTTTCCGTGGGATCATCCCATAGTCTGGGTTTGGCTTAGCTGGATTCTATGTACAGGGTTGCACAAGGCTGTAATCAAGGGTGGGTCCGGGTTATGGCCTCACCTGGGGAAAAATCCGCCTGTCTTGGCAGAGTTCAATCCTTGCAGCTGTAGGACTGAGAGCTTCAGCTCCTTGTGGGTTCTCTGCTGGAGGCTGCTTTCAGCTCCTAGAGGTCACTTTCAGGGCCTCCCATCACAGGCCTTCCACAGCCTGGAAGCTTGACTCTTCAAAACCAGCAACAGAGTAAGAGATTCCAGCAGGGAGGGGCTACAGTCTTACATAACACAATCATGTAACGATGTGCACATAACTGCAGACCTCTAGTCACTTTTGCTATACTCTATTAATTAGAAGAAAGTCACAGGTCTTTCCCACTCTCAAGGGAAGGGTGTCACACAAGTCAAGAACACCAAGTGGGCTAGGCGTGGTGGCCCATGCCTGTAACCTCAGCACTTTGGAAGGCCAAAGTGGGCGGATCACTTGAGGTGAGGAATCTGAGACCAGCCTGGTCAACATGGTGAAATCCCATCTCTACTAAAAATACAAAAATTAGCTGTGATGTTGGTGGGTGCCTATAATCCCAGCTACTTGGGAGGCTGAGGCAGGGAGATCACTTGAGCCCGGGAGGCGGAGTTTGCAGTGAGCCGAGATCATGCCTCTGCACTCCAGCCTGGGCGATGCAACAAGACTCCATCTCAAAAAAGAACACCAGGTGGTGGGATCATGAAGACCACCTTAAGTGTCTGTCTGCCAACATTATACAGTGACCAAAATTCATTCTCCTTCTTAATGTATCAGCACCTGATGTCAGCTTGTCCCGTTATTGGTGATATTAACTCTGATTATTTGGTGAAGATTTCTCATCTGTTAAATTTACCAGTTTTCCTTTTGTAATTATTGTCATAGCCTTCATCAAAATTTCACCCCACCATTTTAGCAAAATTGCTGATTCTTTGCCTAAATTAATTATTAGCATTATGGTTGCAAAATGCTGATAAAAAAAACTCCATCATTCTTTTTTAAACTCCATTGTTCAGCGTGTATTATTTGGCAATTGACTGTAAGAAAGAGCTTTCCCACCACTGTATATCCGAGGGTGTTTTCCTGTTCACTAGGTCATCAGGCTGGGCTGCAAGATAGAATATAACATGCATATGGCAGACGTCAAAAGGTAGGTAAGTATCACCCAGGGAAGACACCAGACATGATTTGAGGTCTCTGAGAACAGACAGCATGCACACCTGGCTCGAATGGCCCAGCCATGACTTGCAGCCAGGGAAGAGTCAGCGTGCACCCAAGATCTAGCCCCTTACATTGCGCTGGCCCCCATGGCCGGTGGGTCCACTCCACAGGGGATATAGGGGATGTAGGTCCACTCTTCATGGACCCCCAGATTCTCCCCATGTAAGGTCTGAAATACGAAAAGCTGGGGATGTGTCTGACGGCCATCAGCCTACACACTTAAGCAGAACACAGGCGCCCACATGGAATTGTAACAGGGAACGATATCCCTGCCCAGGTGATAAGCCCAGCAGAGGCTACGCAGGCTCTTTATCTTCCTGTAAGGAAATGTTCCAGGCCCAAGGCCCATCTTCCACAGCTGAGCAGATGCACAGACCACACGTGACTGCTTTTCCAGTAGTGGCTATGTATTTATGCAGGCATAGACTTGAGGAATTTTATTATTTTCATGGCTTAAAATATATTACGATCATGACTTGTTTAATCAAATTGTCCCATGTTTGGTCAGCGAGAGCCCTTTCAAGCTGGCGTCTGTCTCCTGAGTCCTTTGAACATGTCCCCAGCATTCTCTGAGAACTTCCTTACTTTTTGGCATTACAAGATGATACGGGTCAATCTTGTTCTTTCCTGCCCCAGTCCTGGAATCAGCCATTTCTCCAAGCAGCCCTGGTTTCTTTTATGGGAAAATGGCATGTAGAGACCAAGATCAGTGTGCATGAGAGAGTCACAAACAAACAAAGACGTGGGTGATAGAATTGGGAGAAGCCACTGCAGAGACATTGGAAGCCAGCTGCACTGCAGGTTCTTGAGGCTGAGAGTTAACTGTCAGCAAAGTTTCTCTTGAATGCCCCCAAGTGTTTAGAACCACACTAAACCCTTAATGGGTCCTCTTTAAATGCCTGGTCGATTGATTCATTTATTCATTGACTGTATTTATTGCTTGATAATAGAGCCAGTTAGTTTATTTGACGTATTTCCATGGACTATTGCAATAGGTGCAATAAAGTGCGTGAGTGACTTGGAGGTCATCCAGGCCACACCTCCATTTGGCTAATGAGGCCTCTTGGACCTCATCGGGGAAAATGTCATCTCCAGGTCACACACTTGGCCGACAGCAGAGCCAGGTCTGGATGTCAGCCCGCCCGGCTCGCTTCGGCACCTCTCATCAGTACAGCCTATAATGAGATGCCAAAAAGAATCCTCTCCTTTTAACAGCAGAAAAGGTTTTCTAAAGCCTCGTGGTGACTTGTCTACTGTGGCTGAGCACGGGAGCCATGCATTTCTGACCTAGCCCACCACAGCCAGAGTTCCTAGCCCGAGGCTCATGGGTTATTGCCAAAAGTCAAACTGGAGGTTGCCAGTCGGCAGGCCTTCAGTTAGCAGAGTCATCCTCAACCGTGGGCTCTCTGGAGTTCTGAACCCAACCAATCCACCAGGCTTTCTCCACTGCTGACCATCTGCAGGCCACTAAGTTGTAGAGGCTGCAGTGATTCTGGGAGTGGCAAGGTCCCCATTTCTGCCCTGAGGTTCTCTGTGTTTATTTCACTGTGAGAGTGAGCAATGTTACTCCTCATTCATTCAAAATAAATAAAATTGTTCTAAAAAGCTAGCATCGCAATCGTAGCTGTGGTTCACTGGCCTTAATCCATGCCTGATCCCTTGCATACTTCCTCTCTGGTCATCGCAACCACCATGCAAGGAAGCTATAATTATCTCCTCATTTTTCAGATGAAAAACCAGGGCCAAAAGAGACACAGTCTAGTCTAAAGTCACGGTGAGGCCGTGGAAGTGTGAGCCCGCAGCTGAACCCTGATCCCTGGACTCTGAGCAGGTACCTCCCCTCTGCAAGGATGAAAGAACATTTAAGGCCAACAGGCTGAGTGGAGGTGGCTGGACACTGATTCTTCTCTCCTCACTACTGGGGTTGGCCTGTGTTCCCAGGATCGTGGTGGCCCCTGGCTCTTTCTCTACCCCATCCCATCCCTGGGCTTCTCTCTCTTTCTCTCTGCCAGCCCCAGGCGGGCTCCTCAAGGCCCCAGGCTCCCTACTGACAGCAGCAGCTTCTGCACTGGCTTTCTGCTTCCCTAAAGGGACTTAGCTCTAGCTCTCAGTTTTTAAATCCCAGAAAATGTTCTGGCAGGTCCAGCCTATAAACATCCGTCGTTTGGCTGTAGCCACAACCAGAGATTTCCCCTTGTAGTCCTTGGCACTTTGCCTGGGGGCCACTGTGCAAGGGCGGGCCTTGGCGGTAGAGGTTTTCCTGGCCCCCTTGCTGGGAAACACTTATGGATGGAGACGAACAGTTGATCAGGGCTCAGACAAGTTTAACTTTCGCTGTGGGACGAGCATTCAAATAAAAAAATTTTAGTGATCTGATAGGGCTGATACTGGGGTTCCCAGTAGCCCTGAAGAGATTGCAGAGTTAGACCTAGACTCTAGTAGTGCTGGTCCTACCTGGTACTGACTGTGGGACCTCGGGCACATTACCTAACCATGGGAGGGGCAAAATACTGTGACCCCATCACCGTGACCCCATCACCGGCTGATCTATCCCAAAGCTAATAAAGCTTAAGGGTTTTGTTTTTGTGATTTTCCATCCTTTGTTTGCGAGGGCACCTCAAATGGTATAAACTGTGAAGACTTGGAGCTATTTCTACTCATTGTTGAGGGCTATTTACCTGTTTTAAGGGACAATCATTTTTTTTTCTCTCTAAGGAATAAGTGAAGTGGTGAATTTCATAGCTTTGTGACCACAGAACCCAAGGAGTAGACCCAGAATTCCCTGGAAGGGAAACGTCACTGTCACATCATAACCCTCCAGGCCTTGGTCCAAACTCCTCCCCTTTTCCCACCAGTCTGGGTCTCCTGTAGCCATGCAGGAGAAAGTGCCTGGAAATAGCCAAGTGCTGTTCAGATATCAGAGTAAATAAGTGCTGTTTTCAGGTCGTGTTTCTCTAGTGCAGCAGATCCCCACCTGGCTACATGCTGGAATAAGCGAGAGACTTCCAGAACCACAAATGCCTGGGTTGTACCCCAGAGAGATTCCATTAGAGTCACTGAGAGCAGGATGTGGGTCTTGGCACCTTGTTTGGGTTGCTCAGAGGATGCTCCTGTGCAGCTGAGGTTGAGAGCCGCTGCTCTAGAGAGCCGTCCTGGGCCTTCCAGATCATGTGCTTCTGCAATATTAATTCTGGAGTATTAATCTTCACTGCTCATTTGGTGCTTAGCATTGTCCCCTTGTCCTGTCATTTGTTATTTCTTCTTCACAGAATAGGTGGTGAGGACCCTGCTATTGCCCCAGCTGTGGGCATTTGTTTAATTCCACCTAAAACTGCGAACAGGAGGATTTATCTGACCGTTTACCATGCACTCAGGGATGTCAGTCCCGCTGGATAGGTGCTTCGGCCCCTCTTATGTGCTAGGAGCCTTCATCTCATCCAAGCCCCATAAAAACCTGCAAAGGAAAGAGTTTAGTGGCTCTATTTTACAGGTGAGGGAGGTGAGGCTCAGAGAGGTCAAGTAGCTTGCACAGGCCACAGGGCTACCCGGTGCGGGAGTTCTGTGTGCAAAACCTCGTGCCTGGGCCGGGAGTGGTGGCTCACGCCTGTAATCCAAGCACTTTGGAAGCGAAGGCAGGCGGATCACCTGAGGTCGGGAGTTCCTGACCAACATGGTGAAACCCTGTCTTTAAAAACAAACAAACAAACAAACAAACAAAAAACCTCATGCCTGTCTGCAGCACATGACCCTGGCTATGTCTTGTCGAAGCAAGGACTGACAGAGAGAAAGTGTGTTTGGGGGCAAAGCTGGAAGCCAGCTCAATAATTAAGAAACTATAAAGCTGGGATTTGAGCTTTTTGCTGCAGAATTTCCTGATATGATTCATGCTCATTTTGTGTGGCCAGGGTTAGCTCTAAATGATTAGGTCAACTATAAAATGTGGGCGCTTTCCTGAGTTCCTGCCGAAATAAATTAATAATACAATGACCTATAAATATTTAATAGCCGATTAGAGGTTTTTTTCTCTTTTTTGGATGGGTATCAACATCCTTGCATAATTGCACTTGAAAGTTGCAGATGATCTCTGACCCTTGTATTTTTCAATACAACCTATGTAAATTACCTCTTCAAAAAAATCTGTTTGGAGTAACAGGCCTGGCAGGAAACATGGATAGCAAAACCATTCAAACCTGGAGGTCACTTCACTATGAGAGGTGAGGACAGCCTGCTGGACCAAGAAGAGATGGCAGTGGGTGCTGATATTTCCGTAAATGACAGTTGCTTCTGTGAAAAATACAGCTCTCCTGTCATCCCAGCCCTCTTCCTTTATGCCCAGAAGACTGTAAACCAGATTCCACACTGACCTCAGATGACTCAGAACTTTTGCGGCCAGGCATGGTGGCTCATGCCTGTAATCCCAGCACTTTGGGAAGCCAAGGTAGATGGATTGCTTGAGGCCAGGAGTTCAAGACCAGCGTGGGCAACACGGTGAAACCCTGTCTCTACCAAAAATGCAAAAATTAGCCAGTCTCCTATCCCAGTCTCAAGAAAATAAATAAATCAAAATTTAAAGATAAAATTAAAATATTTTTTAAAAGGAACTGACCTGCCTTGTAGGTATGCAGGAATCAAAACCACAAGGTTTCCTTTCTAAGGCAGCAGCTCTCCCTTAGTGGTTGGGTGAATGGTCCTGGAGCTTGCTGAAAATGCAGGTCAGTGGGGCTGGCCAAGGAATCTGTCATATTAGTGAGCAGCCCAGAGTCCTTGGGGCTGTGAACACTTAGCATCACGCCTCAGTGGCCATCCAGTCCAACCTCCTCCTTTTTGTCTGATCCCCAATCCCATCTCTGCCATTGGGGTTCCTCTGGGCTCCCAGGATCAATACTGGAGAAGGAGGTAGTATTGGGAGGGTGAGAAGTTGGGCTGTGAT